AGAAGAAGCAGACGAAGAGGAGTAAATGAGAGCTGCAGCTGCCCCTCGTAGGAGGTTTCTGCGTCAGCCAGTCAATTAAATTCAGTTGTCTTTGTCTTCTTCCGAAGGTTGTAAAAGCATCAATAATTCTGGGAAGCTGCACTTAACTCAATTTGCTGTACATCAAGTTTTGTACAGAATGTAAGCAGCAAATCATTCCAGCTTGTGTCATAATTAGAGTCATTTCATGCATTGACTTTTTGACTGGCAGGTGTAAAATTATTTTCTGTATAACACAAAACTAATAAAAGGATACTGAAATGCAACAAGACACATCTGTAACATCCACATTGAATGTGATAGGACATCTAATCCAAATGGAATATAAAATAATATAACAATATGAGATGACAAGTATTTAGTTTACTTTTGACTTGAAGAATGGTAAATCTTATTATTGATACATATTTTTCACATACAATATAGTCATGAAGAGGGTGGAATTGTTATTTTTGACTTTATCGGTGTTAATAAATTATTTATGAATGCTTTTCTTACTGTAATTTGTTTTACTGGTGATTTGTAAAACATTAATGAATAATTTAGTAACAGTTAATCTAATCAATAATAACAGTTGTAACATGGCACCAAAAGATCATGCTCTGAGCCTATCATTACATTTTTCATAAAAGCAATTTATAGAAACATGTCATTTATGTACGTGTAAAAAAAAAAAAAAAGCGACGGCGCAATTGTGAAGAAGATGACAAAGATGGAGAGACAGAAAGGGAGACTGGGTGAGAGAGAGAGAAATTAAGCCACTCAGTCTGGGCTGGCAGTGATAAAGGGTAATGAGTTATAGCATTCACAGGTACACAGTGCTCACATATATCACAGCTCCATCAGCACTGTCTGATTTGTGACAGATTATTGCAGGCTGATCTTACTCAAGATCTCAAATCCTTGCACACTGGAGTGGCAATAGCTTTGCTTGACGTTGTGTATGTGTGATACATACTTCAGAATTTGCATACCATGCTCTTTTTGGGGGATCCATGAAGACTCATTAGTCTGGCCAAGCGAAGGGCAGAGTAACTGATTGCCAGTGAGAGAGAGAAAGAGGGGAAAGAGAAAAAGAGATGCCACAAAGTGAAAGTGGTTGCTCCTCACATCACCATCTCTGAACAAGGCAGGCAGCCTCTGTTAATGAATTGAACTGCCCCATGCAAATGAATGGAGTCTAGAGATAGGCAAAAGGAAATGAAGGGAGTAGGGGGATGTCAAACTACATGAACGATGAAGTAGCTCATATCAGGGCCTATATTACAGAGGCCTATTAGTTCTCCTGTCTCTGCTGGCAATGGGCGTAATGAGGCAGTCTCCAAAGACCAAATTGATGCCTACTCTATCTCCCACTCTAAGGATAGAGGGCAGGCTTATTGTAGAGTCATACAATAGGCTGTAGTAGCCAGAAAAAAATTCTCTTTGCTTTTCTACTATTGTACAATGACACAACTCAGACTTGTATGTATAGAGCAGTGTAACAATCTTTAAGCTCCATTCTATGGTCTGACTTTGTTTGCTTTTTGTTAAATTCAGATTCAGAAAAACTGTCCCTCTCTAGGTTTCTTTTTCATAGTCCTTATTTTCATAGTCCTTAAGACTGCACATTAGTGACCCTCTGAACCGAATTTGCAACTGCAGTATTTATAGGTAAACAAGTGGAAGCTGCATAGTGCTTGCAGAATACTTGGATCTTTTGTTTGAATAAGGAAACTCTAAGTCTAGTCTCAGTTTTCATAGTTTTTGTTAACTGAAACAGTAACTTAATGTACAGCAGTAAATTTTTCTGTCTGTACTGTCTAGTACACAGTTAATCTGCGTATACAATTTTGAAAGGTTTTATGACTAAAACAAGATGCATTGTCACAACATGTAGGAATAATAGAACTACAACACCAGTAAAAACTAGGGATGTCCCGATCAAGTTTTTTTTAGCACCAATCTGATCTGAGTCATTTAATATTGAGTATATGCCGATCCAATACTGTGTGTGTGTGTGTGTATATGTATATATGTATTTATTTATTTTTTTGATAATACAGTGCACAGTGCGTACTTCCACTTACTAAAGTTATTAAAATCAATCCAATGTTTGACAATTAAATAGCTCTGTATTACATTAAGAATAAAATGCCTGCATTAAAGCTGCAATAAAGTATAAAATAACAAACCTTCTGTAATCATTTTTGTCTTGTCGAGGGAGTTTCTCTCTTCACTGTTTAGTGCTTCAGTGCAGCCTTTATCTGAGTTACCTGAATTAACTGTCTGTATTCGGCTGAGCGTTCATTTCCGTCGCCTGTACGTCTTTTTCACAGATTAGATTCATCAATTACTCTTACTGGCTTTTTATTCATGGGGCTTTTGTTGCACATGCAGTGGCGTGTTGAGTGTGGCTGTGTCGGCTGACACACACAGAGCTCGGAGTGGAGAGGCAGCGGAGAGGGTTGACAATGGCTGCACCGTGCATCAGTAAAAACAGCTGTGTGACAACTGACGTATAACAAAAGATCAGATCATGTCAATAAAGCTCAATATAGACGATAACGATCAGGTAAAAAATGCCTTGATCGGTAGTAAAAACCAAAACCTAATACTGATTATATTGACAGTTAAGAATGAAAAAAACAGAAAAAAGTTAAGAAATTGTTATTAATTTTTCCACATTTTACAACAGCATAGAGGAGCTAATAATAATATAGTAGCAGGTCTGGAATTAAGTGTTGTTAGGGCAGGGACACTTTGGCCTTTAATAAATAAAAATATATTGGGAAATTGTGGCCAAAATGTAGAGCATCAAGACCAAAACCACCAAACAGTATATACAAAAAGGACATATCCACAGTATAGGAGAACACTGACAAAGGCCATTTTACCACACAATGAAGTAAATGTAAATGTACTTTTGGAGGAGTATTTTTACAGTGTGATTGGTATTAGTACATTTGCTTAAACCAGTACCTAAAAACCACTGTGTGTCATTTCCGAGCATTCCCCAGTAAGAAAGGTGGGCTTGTGGGTAACCTGCCTGTTTGTGATGGGTTACCTTGTCAGCTGCTACAAGTCATTGCATTTTCTTTTTTAATTTTTCTTGCTGTTGTGGAAAAAATGACAAGAGAAGTTGACCTCTGACCTGTAGCTTGCTGCTCTGCAGCTCCGAAACATATTTGGGAGGTCTCCTGGTTTAGGTTATTTTAATTGTCTTTAGCCTGACTCAAAGCTGCTAACCACTTAGTGTTAGCCCTGTGTAGCTGCAAACATAACACACAGTAACTATTATATGGCAACTGGAGCTTATCTACGCACTTTATGGCAGACTAAAGTAATGTAACTATGCCTCTGTTAACATTACACCAAGATGCTTATAACACAGACTTTCTGACCGGTCTCTTTTTTGTAAATATTTTTGCAGGAGAAGTCACATTCCTGCTGATGCCAGACACTGGGAAACATGAGTTTGTTTATTTTCTGTGTCACGTAGTTTTGAATAAGGAAATCCACAACTTTTATTTGAAGGGCACAATGGCCAGTTCAAAACAGGGAAATGCCAAACTGGCCTAGGGCTTCATTTTAGAAGGGATAGCATAGGTTGATCAGGGTGTCTGTCAGCAAGACTTCCTAGTTTTTCAAACTAAAAATAACATAATAATAAAAATTGAAGGTAATGTGTCCTTGATGGACGTATCCTAATAAATGAATTCAGAAAACCTTCAATATTCTTTTTATATGTTCCATTGCACTACTAGCTACACCCTATAGTATTTGCAGTCAATTTGACATTTTTCTTATATTTCCTATTCTTTGGGTTACATTTTGACACCCTTTACCCTTATCATTTCTGACATGCACTGTGGGCGACAATCAGAGCAGAGTGATCACAGACAAAACCCCTCATTAAAGAAAGTGCTTCTTCCCGAAATGACAGAGACAGTAAGGAGGAGGACTGACCTTATTAGCAAAGCCTGGTAGGTTAACACAATGCCATCATTCTGATCATTCTTTCCCAGCTTGCCTTAGCAGCCAATGGCTCATCAGGTAATTACTACCTTGTGTCACATCCTCTCTGCACATATGAAGACCCTATAGCACTGAAGTGTTCTGATTTTGCCCAACAAATGGGATTGTTTTTGTTTTTTTGTACTTGGCTAATTATATAAAAGCTTGTTTGATCATGCTCAGCTTGCAGTTCCCTTTACTAAGAAGGAACCCTGAGGGGGACAGGTCTGTGTGCATTGGTCTAAACATAGGGCAAAAGGAATTTTAGTAACTAACAGTAATCGCAATAGGCCATTGTAGCGGCGAGTGCCTAATCTAAAAAAGAATAATAATAAGAAGGTAATGACTGTGTGGCCAGGTGAGTGAGACCTCTTGCTGTCTCTGGGCTAAGGGGCAGCTTATCCGGGTCTGACAACTTCAGGTGTATTTCTCTTTTGACTGTCAGTCTATAAGCAACACGTTTGCCACCAGAAACACTCTCAGCCTTGGCTCTAGGTTATCCAATCCCAAGGGGTAAACATAATGTTTTTCCTGCATGCCTCTCTGATGTGTAACATTAGACAGCCTGCTGCATGTTTATTGGCTCAGTGACACTGATGAGATATACCCCTTAAGTATCTAAATGTGGTACCGAATGACAAAATATCTTTCGATACTTGGTTCTCAGTTCGGATGGTACTATCAAAGTTCGGGACCCAGCCCTACCTAAACATGATTTACTTTTTACCTTCTGGTAAAAGTTATCAAATATCTTTCCAAAAGATAAGAATGATCTTGCTTACTTAGTGACGTTGTTTGCTTGTCCAACTCAACTTTGAGGCAATTTAAGATATATCCCAATATATATATCCCGAATTTCCACAACCGGATCCTCTCTGTAATTGAGGTTGGAATAAACAGATCATGTCGAGTACAAAAAAAGGTAACTGATGGGACAAAGAAGAAAGTCTCACACGTTTTAAAAGTAAATCTTAATATAAACATTTTATTCAGTGCATTTTTGTGTATACAACAAATAATAAACAACTGGAAGTTATCAGGCAGCCACAATGTCTGCCTGTAAATGTTGTTTTATCAGATTTAGCCTGGTAGTTTGGAACACATGATCCAACATGGGTTAATACACATAGCCTACATCATGCAGCTCTAGACCAGAATTTCCCTGCTTTCTCCCATGCAACAGATAGGTTCACCTAATACAACCTCTGGAGGAAACCAAGAAAAGAAAACCTTCCAGAAGCATGTACCAGGAAGAAGTTATGTAGCGTAAGGGAAGAGTACCTAGCCCACAAAAAGGGTCCTTTTTGTACATAATTGTGTTTGTACATGCCCTGTGCAAGAAAGGGAAGATGTTCATTTTTGTATGTTTTTTTCTTTTTTTTCACTTTTACAAATATGACGTGTCCTATAAAATGTTAAGCCACCTAAAAGTCCACAGTATTCTTTTTTTAAATATAGAAAATATTGTCACCACAATAAGTTACTCAAACACATAACAAGCATCCTGGGAAAGGGCTTGCACCATATTCTTATGGTGAACTGTGTCAGTCAGTATAAGTCGACAAAAAAGGATGGCGGAGGGTGCGAAGTATGACACAAGCACAGAGAGAGGAAACAAATCACGAGGACAAGAGACGGAGACATTGTGACACAGTGGTAACAGAAGGGAATGGGGACACATACTAGTCGTTTCAGACCTTGACCGTCGAGCATATCAGCAAAAAGCACAACATCAAGCACGCTGCCAACTTCAAAGTGTTTAAAATCACTTCCTTTGTCCATTGTTCCTTTTTTCCACAAAATCTTTGCTTTTTTTCATCAAAAATGTACAATGAAAAAAAAAATTCCAGCTTTGCCTTTCTACTGGCTTGGTTTTCAGCGGCTTAAAGGGACACTCTTTCGTTCTGTCTTTGGTTTGCTGGAACCCCTTTCAATGATGAAACAGGAACAAAAATACATATACTGAACAATGGTAAGGGAAGAGAACAAGAGGGGACAAAAACAAAACCAGTTATCAAATAAACAGCTCTCAGCTAATTCAGAAAATTAGCAAAAAACCAAGGTGCAGCTGTGGCATTTCTGAAAGGAAACAAAAACTGCAAGAGAGCCACGCTGTCCCTTTTTTATATTTCAGGTCAGCTGAACATAGGCTTCATTTTCCCATGCTAGAGAGCTCAGTCTCTGAGCGTGTGCACTAGGACGCAGGAGAGCTACCTTCTGGCTGGCCACAATCCCAGCAGCACTAGGCTGTGCCACACCAGGTAGTTTATAGGCTTTGTATTCACAGAAGCATGGATGAGACAGAGATCAGGGCTTTGTACTGTACCACTGCAGCCTTGTAGACCAGCGCCATTACTGGCTGCCCTGAATGCCTACACGTCTAACTTCCTGTCCCTGTCTGACAGATGCACGAGTGCTTGGTGTCTACATGACCTAAGAAAAGTTATTGTCCACAGGAAATTAAGAAAAAAAAGATAACGATGAGCTAACTGGTATGTGATCATCACCAAAAAAGAGTGATCAAGGTAATAAATGATAAATCTCAAGCCCAAAACAAAATGTTTAATTTAGTCCAGAATGGTGTATGTGCTGTTAAGTGTCTTACTATTAATGCTGTTTTGTTGATGATTGATCAGGATGGTATCTAACAGTTTTTTTTTTAATGATGGTGTTGGTGTGGTTTTGTTGTTGTAGCTAGTCCTGAACCGCTGATCGGAAAGAGAAGTCTGCTTGGATTCACGCTCTGCTGGAGGTAAGGTTTCATGGTTCGGCCCCAGGCCTGGATTCGGCTACCGGGCTACGTTGACTCATTCTGGCTCACGGCTTTGCCTCCGTTGAGTACAGCCGAGGCACTCCGACTCTTGGTGGGTGTGCCACTGCCGGAGCGGGAGAACTCCGTCAAGTCATGGAGGGATGGCTCTCTGTACATTGCCACTAAGGAAACACAGTGTAAATGAGAATCAGACAAACTGTCAGCATACATTAAACAAGAAACAGCAGAAAAAAGGACATGTGATTTGTAGTGTACAGACGGGTATAAAAAATGTTTAGTAGGACTGCACTCTGGTTTGGTTTTTAGAATAGGTTGATGGTATAATATGAAATCGTACTTATAGCTCCCTGCAAACTGCTGAATTAAGAGATCACAGCAGACCAGGTTGGTGTAAAAAAAAAAAAAATCCTATATTCACAGCATGGCATTATAAATTCAGGAGTTGCTAGTGCTTTAGCTTTGCTGTGTATGCAGCATTGGCTCAATCTGCATCTCATCAGCCGCTTTTCAGAAGAAATATCAGTAATCTGAGGTTCACAGTCTTTGGTTTCAGGATGTTGTCAACATTCTTCTGCCAAGGATGCTATTTGATGTTCATTCCTAAGGGAGTCTGTCGCTGAAACAGCAAACCCAGTCCTTCAGACACTTCACTTAGCCCAGCATTTTTTTGTTAGAGCAGCAATCCAAAGACCATCCTTATTCACATAAATCAATGGCAGGGTTTCACAGGAAAACTGCTGATGATTGGCTCCAGTCTTGTTAGTGACAGTATTGTATGATATACAATGTTGGGTGACTGACCTCGGGATTATGGTATCGCCTTAATGCCACTGCTGCTATTCATTTTTAAACATTAATCTCCAATAATAACCATCTATCTTGGCATATTCACATTCCTCCACACAAATCTCCAGTGTTTCAGTGACACATGTATGGAGCCATTATTATAGCAAAACTGTTTACAAATGTGAGTGAAGAGTTGTGCAACTGTGTCTTAGTCCGTGTGTGTGTGTGTGTGTGTGTGTGTGTGTGTGTGTGTGTAATCACATTTATATATGTGTAAAAGAATCTTTACACATTTACAGATTTGTTCACACATTTTCTGATCCATGTACGCATCTACAGATTTGACTACTTATTTACAAATCTCAATACATTTGCAAATCTGAATACAGATGTGTATTTATTTTTATTTATATTTACACTTTTACACACAAATTCTGAACACACATTTGCAGGTTCCTGTACACATTCACATATCTCAATACACATTACGCATACGGATTGAGATACAGTTACACAACTCTCCACTCACATTTGTAAATAATTTTGCTACAATAATGGCTCCACGCACATGCCACTTGACAGACTACACACTGTCCTGATAAAAGCAGCTCTTTTTATATTTAAAAACAATATAAAAAGATATATTATATACATATTTTTGTTATGCATCAAGACTTCCAGGACGAATTGTAAGAGGATTTTCCTGTTTGGGTTTGAATGACATGAGCTGAACTTGCTTCATCCAGAGGAAGACAGAATGAAAGGCTGTGGGCTGAGACTCACAGACTGGAACCAGAAGAGCAGTGAGTAATGGCTGAAAGAGATGCCATTGCCAATGCAGAGACAGCTTCTTAATTGGTGCCCTGTAACACCACTGCCTCTGAATCTTTATGAGCTGCTGGAACAAATTCTCCTTTCTCTCTTTCCCTTGCAAAGCCCTTTCCAAACGACTTGCTACATTTGAAATTTAAATAATGTAAAATATTTAGTAAATATTGTGCATTACTGGAAAAATATAAAGTTTGTGCCAAAGGAGGAGAACGTCTTACATCTTTGGGTATTACAAGAAACGTATTTATAAAAAAATGTTTTCTCATTTTGGATTTGCTGTTGGACCTCAAATACTAATAACTAATAACTAAAATTTCTTGTTCATAAAATACACCAAAGGCAGCTGACGGCAATGCTTGTTGGAATCTGTTAGAATTACTGTCTTACCCAGCCTTTGTCTTTCCTTGTTATTCAAAATTTCTCTTTCTCAGTATTCTTCTTTCAGCATAAAGCAAGGCTATCCTTCTTTGACTATTGCGCCTAAGTGTGTTTGAGCCCTCCTGGAAGGCCCGTTAAATGAAAGTGAAAAGCTATTATAGCGATCTCAGAGGGCAGACATAGATTCTTAATAAGATGCTGGCTTGGCAAATAGAAAAAAATGAGAATTAGGCTCAAAATGGGAATATCCAGCACTGCAATCACCACTGGGTATCTGAAAATGGAATCCCACATTACTAAAATAGTTTACACACAAATGTGTATCATCTACAACTTTTACCAAGTCATAATAGGATCTTTAATAATAAAGTAGAATTATCACTTGTATAAGCTTTGTAGAAGTAACATTCATGGCAGAGCACAACACAGTAAACCACACAGTAAATTATAGCAACAATTCAGCATCTCACTTGAAGTAAGCTTAATATATTGTTATCAAAGTACATACTATACTTGATTATTTTAATTTTGCCCAAGTCCGTGTTATAATTGTTATGATAAAATACTGTCTGGTTTGTCATACAGTCAATTTGTTAGACTGCACTTAATTATCCTTTCACACAGTTTCTGTGAACCGTATTAATAATTTGACAGTACTAGTAGGCATGTTAACGTGCACACACACAAAAGAAAAAAGTGAAACTATAAAAAAAGCCACATGTGACAGATCCAAACCATGAAACTACTCAGCAATCAACAATTTAAAGAAACTGCCCTCTTTTCGTCACTGTTTGAGTTTTTGCGCTGCAAGCCTTTTATTTCTTACTGACAGAAAAAGAGTGCTCTTCTTTTATCCCACTGAAGTGAAAACAGACTCTCTCTCTGTCTCCTCTCTGTTGACAGGTAAATCTGTGTCTTGTTGAAGATGAAAGGACTGTGGCCTTTTCAACAGTGAGAACAGAAACATTTCTCTCTCTCTCCTCCCTGTTTCCTCTGTTCTCCACAGCCACACACATAGCCTGCATAGGTGGGGTTCTCTGTGACTTTACTGTACAGAAAGTAAAGCCTGGGGTGCTACTATTCAAAGCATTTAAACATATTGTTCCTGCTGCTTCTGGTCACAGACAATGGCTCAGCCTCCTTCTGCACTGTCTGCAGCAGAGTGTGACCAGCTAGTGGAAGCGGCTGAATAGGTCCATACCAGCATCTCTAAAGCGAATGTTAAATAGCAGAGGGTCATGTAGAAAGCAGCTTTTTTAGTCTCTAGTAAAAGAATATTCACATGGACTGAAAGTATAAAGAAAATGGGGACATTTAATCAGCGAGAAGCTAATGGCTCTTAGGGAAGGTCTTTTATTGTGAAAAACAAACCCATTACTAAATGGAAAAGTGACATTGCTGAATAACCAAAAACTTTCTTAATAGATTGTGTAGTTACAGCAACTTTATCCCCGGTGCCAAGCATAACGCTTATAGCTGCCACTATACTCAGTGCTGCTGGTCGGATAGCTTCGGATTTTTTTTTCATTCTAGAAGAGAATGTCTAAAAATGTTATTCTAATTTTTTAAGGATATTGCGTCTACTATGTCTTCCTATGGCTGGCTTTTCATTTCGCCAATGTTGAAGAGTAAAATGTGAAAGAGGATCTTGGCAGGCTTACCTTTTAGAGGTTTGGGAAGGAAGTGGGCTGCTGGCTTGTTCTTCTTGACATGGTTCCCCTTCATGATTTCTCCTTCCTTGTTCAGACCGAGGTACCAGCCCCTGCCCGACTGCTGCTGCCGGTATATCATGGAGGAGTATGTCACATAATAGTTCTCAAACACTGACTCCTTGAATTTGCACTCTGGCGTAAAGTGTTCCTGTGGGAGAGGGGAGAAGCAGATACAGTGTATAGTAGTCGTTGGACAGTCATTGACAAGGTCTCAAGAGACTTTGATGTCCTGGTATGAACAGAAGCAACTGAAATGCAACAGTTCATTACTTAACTGCAACTTAATAACGATACATTGCGCTGCCTGTCTGACATAAACTTGGGTATGAAGATGCCCAAGCCCCTGCTTTAAACTCTCTTGAGAATTTTCTGAATATATTTATTCCATTAACTGTAGTGAATAATGTAGCACTTTATAGCATAGATAACAGTGATATGACAGATACAAAGGAGCATTAATAAAACATACGGGTGAATGAAGAGTATATTCTCATTTTGCTCCTAGCTGTTAATTATGTATGGGCAGTTCATTGTCTTTTAGAGTATTGTCTGCTGTATTAAAGATTTTGTTGGACATGATATTGTATTATGAATTATTAGTGCTGACTTTTTTGAACTACAAAAAAAATTTGAAATGCTTTCACAAGGTGGCTTTAATAGTTTAGTATACAGTCTGTGTGCACTTGGGTAGTGCATGAAAGGTGTGTGTTCTCTATCTATCGTTTTATGTTATCCGGGTTCTTCCTTATCTCTTTCACTAATGAACTGGCAGTGGGGAACCTCCTTAGAGACATAGACAGAGATTTTGTTGTTCATCTTCCGGACTCCATACTGTGCTTATTCATTCCTCCTTCTGTTTGATTCCAGTGTCTATAGGGCTTTTGGCCATTAACAGTGTGGCTGAGGTTTATGTTCTCCGTGGCGTGATTTTGTTTATGTGTGTAGGCACAAGTGTATATGTGTGTGTATGTTTGTCTCATTGTGCGTGTTTGTCCAATTTGTAGAGCTACTTGAGCAGTGAGTCCACAAAACAGTGTCTAATCAGTTAGAAGACTATTTCCCCTGAGAGAGATCGAGGGACAGTGCGTGAGGGAAAGGCAACTAAAGACGAGTGAAGCTAGTCGTCAGTGAATGGTTCTTGCCATGCTTTTACATTTTCTTCTAAGGACAATTTGTCTGCAAATGAAAATACAATACAATATATATACAAACACAGTTAGAATAACCAAAGGGTCAAACTCACAATGAGTTTTAAAAAGTGAGCTTTTATAGAAAGAGACGGATGGATGCGTCTTTCAGGCCGAAGCAGGTATACACAGAACCTATCCCAGTTAAAAAAACATCACTTTGGTGGGTGTCACTGGTGAGAGTGATGACGTGTCCCCAGGGCCAAAGACCCGCTGTGAGATCATGACAAACAACATGTCACTACCAGACAGGGAGTCATCTATAACAGCTTCTGTTTTTTTAACACTTCAACAGCGTCACTCTTCATGTGCAGCGCTAACGGGACTTCAAAAGACTGAATGCGGTTCATGTCTGGTGATGTGCTTTGCTCAGCTATTGATGCTTTTGTAGACGTTGCAGCTAAAACATACAAATGCTATGTAATGTAAAAGAAGTAAACTGTAATGGGTTGGCTTGTTGAGCGTGATAAAAGAGCAATCTAGTATACTACAATACTGTATTGTGCCCTTTGTCACACTCAACCACGGAACTCATTCCAGACACAAAACCCAGACCCACCTACAGTAACTGACAACCACACTTATTCATCATCCCTTCTGACTGATCTCACCTTCTCAGACCACACTAGAAAAAACTCTCTGATAGAAACAAAGTTGAATTCACAGGAAGCTAGTGTCGTATCACCTCAATGGGATACATCCTGTTGGCTCAGCCCTGGTTCTCAGTTAAGCTGCGACATCACAGGGGCACCAAACACTCCATTTGAATAAATGTTAAGCCCACCAGGAGGGCTGCAGAACCAGCTGGGAGCTTACACCCTTACGGTTCAGTAAGAAATTAGTTTCCGGTTCTTATTTCGGACAAGAGTGTTCAAACCGTAAAGACAAGAAAACCTGAGGGACTGCACTCTGCACCTCTGTTTATGCAGGCACATGAAGGTTTACAGTACGTTCAGGGTCTTTCTGAGCTTGATAAACACTAGTTTATTATGGTATGTAATTAACATTTCAGCCTGTAAGAGCATCAATCAGAACTTAAGGTCTGTGATCTGTTTATGTAGGTATAGGGTCTATTTAAGGGGTTATGCAAACCCTTTAGCCAAATACAGTAGCTGAATAAGTCCATTATTGAAAGATTACTGCTGTTTTACTGCTAGGTCTTGGAAGGGATGCAAGACATTTTCCATGACAGACAGCAGTTTGTGCAGCTTCCTCCTCTTCAAACTGTTAACAGCTCCAGTAGTTTGAGCACCGACCCAGTGTTTTTGATCAGTGTACGCAGTTTGTTTGCAACACCACCTCTGTTGCTTCTGTTGTGAGTGTAGCAATATTGCACTCACAACAACAGAGAGGAAAAAGACTTGCAATGTCTTGCTGCACATATTAAAGGAACTAATCTTCCTTAAAAAAATGAAGATGACATTCGGCCCTTCCCATAGGCAACTCTGCATTGTCCTTCCAGTCCAGTGTTTTTTTACAGAAGGTTATTCTACCCCTCGAATTATTGCATGATTGATAGAAAGTCAGTTAGGCCTCAGAGATTGACTGTTTTCTTTAGTGGTAAGATACTGTAAAGCAGTATGTATACTGTAATTGATGTATCTATGGTTTCCTCCCTCCTATCCTCTCTACTTATTTATAACACATCAGATATTTTGTCTATTTTGTCGCTGTCTTATTCCATCTTGCTAATTTTTTGACTGTTCCTCAGTACCTCAATGTCTTCTGTCTTTCTTGTTGCCGGACTGATAAGCAGCAGCAGTCTCAGAAAGGCTTGGTAGCATCCATCTCAGTTATGCACAAGCAGCAACTGAAAGCTAAACAACGAGCTGCTCAGTTCTCGAGCCAGAAGTTCTGTTCTACCTCTAATAATGAGCTTATGTGGATTTGGCTGGTTACACTTGCCCTGGAGAAGAATAAGAGTCTATTGATAAACAGACGCATACAGCTAGATACAGGCACATTTAGAGCCAAGATGGAGGCTGCTCGCTGGTGCTGCAATATTGGAGTGGGTCTGTGGACAACAGGCTCGCCCAGACCGACACAAGGAGGGGCCAAAATGGCAGGGGATCCCCACTTCTATTCTAACAGGACTGTGATAGACAGAAACATTCAGATCCTTTTGAATGGGCTCCAGTAGCATCTCCTTCAGTCAATAGCATATCCTATTGTTCACTGAAACCAATCTCCAAGTGAAAAAATCTCACATCACTTTAATCATGACTTCAGTGTCAGATGGAGCGAGAGGAAATCACTTTAGAAATAAAAAGCAGGACACTATCTGCATAGAAATAATATCAGTCGTGTCATCTCCCTCCCCCCTAGGTCTCTATGGTGGTTTGGCTAAATGGACTTTTAATGATCCCATTACACTACATGGGCTTTTCCTTCAAATATGCAACTAAGTCCTTGTTCAAACGATGCACAGCTGGCCACCTCACTTACACAGGACAAGCTTTTTTGAACAAATAAATAAATATATATATTACAGCATTGACTTAGTGTACAAACACTGTTAGGAGCTTTAGACAAGCTGTATACATACCTTGGTGAAAGTCTGTCGATTGTTTCTTGATAAATTTTGTTTAAAAGTTGTGTTGCTGGGAGCTCTGTGATACATTTCTCCACATTTTTTAGGAATAGAAAAGACAAAATTCACAGTCTGTCTCTATTCACTCCTGTTTTCTAAAGCATCTGTGTGTAGGATGAGCAGTGTTTTCATTTAACTTTA